TTTTTTTTTTTTTTTTTTTTTTTTTTTTTTTAACGAATATACTTTCGCCTCACGTATTTAGAAATCGAGATGTTACGAGAAAGGTTTCGATTCTATTTCGTTTTTCAGGTTTCCGGCCATTTGTACAACACCGGCCAGTTCCTGGTGTTCAGAGCCGATCGGGAGGCGAAGGTGCGGGTCAATATAACGGGTGGGCCGTTGGCTTATCACTATCAATTCGAGGAGATCTACATACACTATGGGATGGATAACGATCATGGATCGGAGCATCGCATTAATAACTACGCTTTCCCCGCCGAGGTGAGTGAAACTCGATACTCGATACCGGATTTTTTTTTTTTTTTTTCTTTCTCTCCACTTCCGTGAAAACGTTGGAGTTACTCGTTCCGCGTTGGAGAAACGCGGTATTGATTTTCGTTTAAGATTTTTCGGGCAATATTATTTCTAATTTGTTTTTTTCAGTATTTAGATTAAACAACTGTAATTATACTTTGAATTTTTCTAAATTTAAAAAATCTTTTTTCAATTTTGTTTGTAATAGGTTCGGAACGAATAGGTAATCGCATAATAATTGAGATTGTTTAATGGCGAAACTTTAACTGGGATACGTTGCGCGTAAATTAAAGAAGAAGAAGAAGAAGAATTTAATTTTATATTCCAAATTTTGTGATAAATAAACATACGTACATTTTCTTCTGAAAGATTTTGAAAAACTATTTTTATCTCGCAAAAAAAAAAAAAAAAGAAAACGGAGAGGAGAGGAAAGAAAAATTTATCAACGATTTAAAAGCAGGCCGGTGAAAAATTGAAATTTTAGACACTTCGGTCGCACGCAAAATTTAATATTCTTGGTCTGGTGAAACCTGATAAAATTCAACCGTGAAATTGACAAAAGGATCACAAAATAGAAACGAAGGGGGGAAAAAAAGAAAGAAAGAAAGAAAGAACGATTTCATATCGCTTTTAAGCGTTTATATAGAAACGAATCTACTTTCAAACAATATCACTGTTTTATTCCATAGGAAGCGGCATAGAAAAATAAAAGGAAAGGGTGAAAGAAAGGGAAATAAACGGACGGAATTAGCGATAGCGCGTTTAGCATACCGTGGAAGATTATTCGACGAGCGGGAATTTTAAAGTTCTTGAATCTTTCATCGGATCGATATTTGACCATTCTCGTTGAAAATTCGCTAGAGTTTCTGCTTTTAATTATGCATTACCGCTAGTCCTCGTTTCGACGCCGAAATCGAAATCTTCGAAACGAAACGATGCCTCTATCCTCATTCCTCGTTGAAAAATAAATTCAACTTGCTTCTATTTTCATTCAACCTTCGAATCGTAAAGTCAGATGGACAATTTTCGCCTCATGTTTCGTCATTTCCTATCTCTTCTAATTCCTTCTTTTTCAAGGGAAAAGAAAAGAAAAAATATATAAATGAAATATCACGTATTCCTTCAAGGACTAGTTCATTATTCAAAATTACATCCTTCCATATTTAAAGAAGAAAAGATTCGAATTCTTAACGAAGCCATCGTTATTCCTTCTTTTTTAAGGAAATGCAAAAATACAAAAATATATATATAACACATGTTCTTTTCGACAGTGCTAATAACATTCGTTATTCAAAATTCCATCCTTCCATATTTAAAGAAGAAAAGATTCGAATCCTTAACGAAGACATCATTATTTCTTCTTTTTCAAAGAAATTCAAAAATACAAAAATATATATATATATATAACACATGTTCTTTTCGACAGTGCTAATAACATTCGTTATTCAAAATTCCTTCCATATTTAAAAAAGAAAAGATTCGAATACTTAACGAAGACATCGTTATTCCTTCTTTTTCAAAGAAATTCAAAAATACAAAAATATATATATAACATGTTCTTTTCGAAATGCTAATAACATTCGTTATTCAAAAGTTCATTTTTCATTTGTCTCAAGAAAGAAGGAAAAGGAGAAGAAAAGATTGGAATATTTAACGAAGACACTGAAAGAATAACGCGGAAATTACGCGTATAATCTGGAAAAATCCCTGTTCCGTCGAGGCTCATCAGCGAATCAGTGGACAAGGTTAAGATGATAAAACCGGGACGAGGGAAGCTGACGGCGTAGTTAATCGAAATTAATCACGGGGCCGGCTTCGTAACGAGACAAATTAAACATTCGTTAAACGCGACGTGACGATGACCCAATTAACCGCGACCTGCTCATCCTTCCGGCAACCAGACCCTCTCCATGTGCGACCCAGTTATCCCCTGGACGGTCGACGGCCCGCGAGAGAATATCGCGTTGCGCCTCGTCCTCCACGATTTTCCCCGATTTTTTTAATTAGTGTCGAAAGCAACACGCCTCGTCTCCGTGAATTTCGTCGAAAAGAGCGGTGAAAAGAATAAAATGTCCCCTCCTCCTCCTCCTCCTCCTCTACCCCTTGGAAAATTATTTTCGACTTTTTGGGTCGAGAACTGGGATAAGAGAACAACTTTTAGAGAATTATGAGAGAAGAGAGAAAAAGAAAGAGAGAGAGAGAAATGGGTGGATAGAAATAGAGGTGTCGTTCACAATTGT